CATGGTTCCTAACATTTAAAGCATACCCGTGATTCTGTATTGCAATTTCCCTGATGTATTTTATGACATCGGGTACATGCCCTATCAGCAAACCTTGAGACTGGTCGATTTAAATTTTCCATAAACCTCGGTCTACGGAAATCGATCATTGTAGCTTCCCCCTTTCTTTTATCTCCAACCCTTTCTTGTGGTTGTCTATTAATGTCTTGCTCCAGAATTTCAGCAGCATCAACTGCTGCTTGAAATGTTGCCGGATTCCTGGATATCACATATTTCAGAAGATTTGATTCCAAACCGCAGATATACTTTCTCACCTTACTGTTTTCAAATATGATATGGGCTTCAACAAAACCGAGATTGTTCCATGAAAACTTCTGTATACTTGCGGACTGGTGCTTCAAAACAATATTGCATTTTAAATTTGATTTCAAATTCTTCCCATAACATGGTTTTCAAAATGTTTGGATCTGAACTTGACAAAACTTCCCACCAATACAATGCACTTGACCTCAATCGGGACACATCAAACATGACTTTGTCCTCTTCTGCACTTTTACTAACCTGCAGACTCAGCTCATTTCTTTAAGCCAACACATGGCTTTAATAGGGTCACGCTCCCCAGAAAAATTTAGGAGGTTTACAGGCAAGAAACATTTTGATATCCCCTCCTTTATGAACAGAAGACGAAGTAAGGGGTACAGATGTACCAGTTACCAGTGTACTGGCTCCGGCTTCTTCCTACGGTTCAGAATCCCTTAAAATTTCTGGGTTATTTGGAACCGAACATCCCAACAAATTTACCAAGCTCTCTTGGAATTTTCCCAACTCAACTGCCATCATTTCCTGAGTAATAAATCCAGGGTCAGAAACATTGTGTCCACCTCTAGCTCTACCTCTACCACGGCCAGACATTGAACTTTCTTGGACCGACAATTCCTATTCCACATGAGTTTCTTGTCTAGTACCTCTACCTCTTTCTCGACCCCTGCTGCGACTTCGTGTTTCTATTGTCATTACATTTTTCCGGGTCTTCTCCTTGAGTCACATTTCTTCTTCCACGACCTCTTCCATAACCAGTAAAGGTCCTTTCCGATTGATCAGGATTTTCTGCCATTTTTCAGTGTATGTCTCTTTCTGTATATTTAAAAACATATGATCATTCACCTAATTAAAACATAATAACACATTTATCCCCAAGTCTATTCATAACTCAAGATTATATCAGTCATATATAATCTATCTTTCTCATAATAGGTTCAACTATAACAAATTCCCATGTTCATAGTCCCAGTGAATCCTATTATCATAACTTCCACAGCTCTAATTTAAGTATAAGTATTTTGCGAATACCCAGATCCCTTAAACTAAGGCCCTAATACCAACAAAAACAACCCATAATTTCCACCAGATAATAAACCACAATCATATTCTTAAAACATAAGGTAATATTGTTTACAAAACATAGGTTAACAAAAACTTTTTTCAATACATTTATGAACAAATAAATTTCATTAATTCTAAACCTTCCCCTTGCCTTTATCCTGCGAGGTATGATGACCTGCAAAACAGGTTAGTCCAACAACTGAGCGTTAGACCCAAAAGGTCTAGTGAGTATACAAATTTTATGTAAATATCTTGTGTTCCAAACTATCAATTTTTAATTAAACCTATACAGATATAAACATTATATCTATAATTGTTATAAAATCTTTCTCTCTCGCGGTTATACCGTCATTATATCTCTCTCGCGGTTATACCGCCATTACATTTCTCTCTCGCGGTTACACCGCCATTTATCTCTCTCGCGGTTACACCGCCATTACATCTCTTTCTCGCGGTTACATCGCCATTACATCTCTTTCGCGGTTACACCGCCATTATATCTCTCTCGYGGTTACACCGCCATTACATCTCTCTTGCGGTTACACCGCCATTTCATCTCTCACACCATTTCATAAACCAATAGTGAAAATAATACCAAAAATACCAAAATCCTTCGAATATGAAATCCAGACAAAAATTCGGAGATGTAATCCGGACAACATTGTCCGGACATCTAATCCGGTCAACCCTTGATGTTTTGAGCAGTTTAGGGTTTAACTCGATCGACACTTGAGCGGTTTAGATATATCCGGACATCCTTTAGCCGGTTTAAGGAAATATCCGGGTGATACTCAAACAATTTAAAGACAATCCGGTTGCCTCTTGGGCGGTATAGGATTTGTCCGGTTTAAATATGCATATATATATATATATATATGTATATATTTGTTCCAAAATCTTAAATCAAAACTTGAAACCCGAATATTACAGCAACCATGGTACATGGATTTCGGTTGCTCAAGTCACATGACTGGTGATAAAAGTCAACTTTCCTCCATCGAAAAATATGGAGGATCTGTGACTTTCAGGTACAACAGCAAGGGTACAATCAATGGATATGATACTATTATCAAAGGAAACATATCCACAACAAAAGTGGCTTATGTTGAAGGCTTAAAGAATAATTTGTTGAGCATCAATCAATTTTGTGACAAAGGTTTGGAACTACGATTTCACAAAGGTTTCTGCATCATCTAAACGAAACCCGGTTAAACCATCATCAAGGTAAAAAGAGAAAGAAACCTCTATCTTCTGGACTTCCACTCTTTTGTGGACCATGTTAAACCCCACAACTCATGATGTAAAAATTAATGAAAAACAACAAGTGATGAAGAACCAGAAGACCAATGAAGACATCAAGGCAGAAACGACTAAGTCTGGAATTCAACCAGAAGATCGATGGATAGTTCAAGGATGCGATGGAAAGAGCATTCTCATCGATCCTCTGGTTATCAACACTTAGAAGATTTTCCAGCACTTCATCCAAGCATGCAATGAAGATTTGAAGATAAGGATGAAATCATCATACCATGAATGACAGCTGGAGATGACAAATCAACAGCTGGAATTCGAGTTTATCTTAATATCAATGTTTATCCATATGAAAGATAAACCTTATCTGTTAGATAGAAGCTTTGCTAGAAAGTAGCATTAGATAGTTATCTTCTTATTAGCCGATTAGTATAAATAGGTGATCAGATCTATTGTAACAATAAGGATTTTACGAGTTGTTTTACATTCCTAGATTTATAAAGTAAAACCTTTGAAGCTCAAGACTGTTCATAAATATT